ATCAGCTTGGATTAGATCGGATCCTTTTACACTTCATCCGTTGAAAGTAATCTTTTACACTCCAATGTGTAAGGCACATTTAGAAAAACCATTGTTATGGGTAGCTAGAGTTTTTGCCGTTAAGTTGACGGCATAGTTTTCCACAAGTACCCCTGTATAAGGTTACACAGAAACAAAATCCACATGGAGGCATGAGTGTGCGCACACACAGGGAGATACCCACTACTATAACTCTCTGGTTTGGCACAGCAACCAAACAGGACAGAGAAAAACTCCAATAAATAGTTAGGATTGCAGGTGGAAAAAAATAATTGCAATCAGCCTTCCTTCCTTAGAAGACCTGTATAGTTCAGGGGTCAGAAGGAGGACTGAGAAAATATCTGCAGGCCCCTCACATCCTGGATATAAACTGTTTCATCTCCTCCGTTCAGAATGCCACACGGCAGGCCAAAAAAGCTAGGCACAAAGACAACTTTTTCCCTCTCATGCCATTCCTCTGCTGAACACCCAATTCACACAATACTGTTTTCTGTCTAAGTATATTTACCCACGCAGTAGGGTTGTGTTACACTTACACTTCTCATCTTCTCTACTACCCACTCTTATTGGTAACATATTATGATTTTAATTACTCTGTTGCTTTGCCTGTACACTGAGAGCTTCTGCACAGGAGACAAATTCTTTGTGTGTCTAATCACACTTGGGCAAATAAAGCTCTTCTATTCTGTTCCGTTCCATTCCATTTTTCTTTCCATTATCCTATCCCAGGGGTAGGGAAACTTGGCTCTTCTACCACTTATGGACTTCAATTCCCAGAATTCCTGAGTGAGCCAAAAAAGGTTCCCCATCCCTGGCCTACTGGTTTTTCAGTTGAAGTCCATAAGTGGTAGAAGAGGCAAGTTTCCCTACCCCGTCCTATCCTATCCTATCCTATCCTATCCTATCCTATCCTATCCCATTCTACCCCACCCCACCCCACGCCACTTCATTCTTCATTTCATTCTTCTGTTCCATTCTTCTTTCCATTTTTCATGCCATTATCTTAATCCATGCCATGCTATGCCATTCCATTCCATTAATTCTTCATTCCATTCCATTCTTCATTCCAGTTATTTTATTCTGTTCCATTCTGCTTTCCATTCTTCATTCCATTATTCCATTCCATTCTTCATTCCATTC